ACTTATATCCTGCTTTTTTCATGGGTCTCTCCCCATGTTAAGAACTGTTAAAGATAGTTGCATAATAATTCCTCTATAACTCATTTAATATTTACTATTAAATAACCAGCATGTTAACTATCTGAAAAAGCAATTTTACTGTTCATTCTGGTTACAAAAATAATACAGGTGTATTACATAAAATTTAAACCTCACAGATAATACAAATTGTAGAATGTATAAATCCATCTAAATACATTAGGGCTGTTTCAGAGGAGATGGGATTTCAGGAAGTGCTGGCATCAGGCAGGAAGAGGGCGATCCAGGGACAGCTAGGGACTGGCAAAAACAAGTGAGATACCGGATCACAGGAGCCAAAAGGTTAAACAGAGTGGGATATGGTGGCCTGCAAGGTGTGAGAGGAGAAGGTTGTTATGAAAACCAACAACTCCCTTCCCCCACACTGGTCAGTATTCTTACCATAAATATATCCATTAAGGCTCATTGCTCAGAAAACATCAGCCTTTGAAAGGAGCTAGTGCTAAGTACAAATCCTCTTTTTAGATCTGAGGAAATTTGAGCCCTAAGAGAAATTATTTTCCCAAGGTCATAAATGGCAAATCCCAAACCAGATCTTCAGATCAGTTACTTTCCCTACATCATCCTGCATTAAATGCCCTCTGTTAAAATATAGAGATGTTGCCAAGAATGGGTAACAATTTTATCTACATATCCAGTACAGGTGACTTTCTCAAGGTAGCCACCTAGCATTTGCAAAAGGTTTGGGACACAAGACACACAAATTTTGATAAGGGGAGTCAGAAAAGGGATAGAGCAAACATCCCAAACTTCATTCTCATTTCACCTTCCTGATGTTTGCCAAAGCTGTGTACCACCTATGCTATGCTTGAGTATTTCTATTTAAAAGAACTCACATTTTTTAAACTTTTTATTTTACAATATATTGGAGTATAGTTGATTAACAATGTTGTGGAAAAGAACTCTTTTTTTAAATAAATTTATTTATTTTTGGCTGCGTTGGGTCTTCGTTGCTTCACACGGGCTTTCTCTAGTTGCGGCGAGCGGGGGCTACATTTCCTTGCAGTGCGCGGGCTTCTCTTTGCGGTGGCTTCTCTTGCTGCGGAGCACAGGCTGTAGGCACGCGGCCTTCAGTAGTTTTGGCACACGTGCTCAGTAGTTGTGGCTCATGGGGTCAGTAGTTGTGGCACGCGGGCTCTAGAGCTCAGGCTCAGTAGTTGTGGCGCACTGGCTTCGTTGCTCCACGGCACGTGGGATCTTCCCAGACCAGGGCTCGAACCTGTGTCCCCTGCATTGGCAGGCGGATTCTTAACCACTGCGCCACCAGGGAAGTCCCACAACTCCCTTTTAAAGCTGAAATATTTATCATTCTAAATGACAAAAATCCATGAAAAATCACGTGTTTTTTTTTTTTTGCGGTACACGGGGCTCATTACTGTTGTGGCCTCTCCCGTTGCGGAGCACAGGCTCCAGATGTGCAGGCTCAGCGGCCATGGCTCACGGGCCCAGCCGCTCCGCGGCATGTGGGATCTCCCCGGACCGGGTCACGAACCCGTGTCCCCTGCATCGGTAAGCGGACTCTCAACCACTGCGCCACCAGGGAAGCCCTGCAAGAAATTCTTGAGGGTTAATTCAGTAATGTCTGGAAAGCCCACAGCACAGTGCTTGACACATAATAGGCCCTCAAAACATGTGTTGACTGTTAAATAATGAGTATAAAGGAAGAGTGCAGTGAGAGAGGGAGGTTAGGAGAGGCTACTTAGCAGTTTGTTTTCGCTCTGGGTCAAGACTTTAGAACACGCCCCCTTTCCTCCCATTCAGACATTTACTGAGCACCTTTATATGCTTGCCACCAGCAAATCAAAGAGAAGATCCTTCCAGGAGTAAGTCTGCAGGCTTAGAGCTCTCCTAACACCATCTTGCTCACTTGGATTCTAAATATTGAAAGATTATTGTATTAAGCAAACAAAAGCCCAGTGATCTCACACTTTAACCCAGTCTTTAAACTAAACTCAACAATATTCATACAATTCCAGTTACTGAGAAGGACAGATGCACAAACACAGCCTTGAATAATCTCAAGCTAATCCGTTCTAGCTTTATGATGGGCTAAAGTGTTAACTTCTTATAATTCTAAAGAAATTCCCTGACTTCCCTGGTGGCGCAGTGGCTAAGAATCCACCTGCCAATGCAGGGGACACAGGTTCGAGCCCTGGTCTGGGAAGATCCGACATGCTGTGGAGCAGCTAAGCCCGTGTGCCACAACTACTGATCCTGCACTCTAGAGCCTGCGAGCCACAACTACTGAGCCCACATGCCACAGCTACTGAAGCCCGCGTGCCTAGAGCCCGTGCTCTGCAACGAGAAGCCACCCCAATGAAAAGCCCGCGCACCGCAACGGAGAGTAGCCCCTGCTTGCCGCAACTAGAGAAAGCCTGTGCACAGCAATGAAGACCCAAGGCAGCCCAAAATAAATAAATAAAAATTTAAAAAAAATTCCCCCCAAACGTAATATTTATTTATTTATTTATTTTGGTATGTGGGCCTCTCACTGTTGTGGCCTCTCCCGTTGCGGAGCACAGGCTCTGGACGCGCAGGCTCAGTGGTCATGGCTCACTGGCCCAGCCGCTCCGCGGCATGTGGGATCTTCCCGGACCGGAGCATGAACCCATGTTCCCTGCATCGGCAGGTGGACTCTCAACCACTGCGCCACCAGGGAAGCCCCAAATGTAATGTTTATGATGTGCCTGTCACTCTCCCCAAGATAAGTCACCCAATTCACAGTGGGGCCACATTTCCTGCCTTGCCTACATCTCTTGCTACCAAAGGATCAAATAAGACTCTGGACTTGGATGCCCTCTATGTGCTGTAGGTGCTGCTGCACACGCATTAGGGTCCTGGTTGATGTAGAGCAGAAGGATTTGGAGAATTTTATGGAACCCAGTTGCAGGAAATACATCTGAACATACAAAGTCACGGGTGACTGCTCTCTCCACTACTCTCTAGGAGTTCATGGTGTTCCAGCCAATTAGGGTTAGGTTCGGCTGTGAAAGACAGAAAACCAAAAATAACAATGGCTTCAAGTAGGTAAAACTTTGTTTTTTCTCTCCAGTGAAAGTATGGGTAGGTAGTCCAGGACTGTCTCATAAGAGACTCACTCCTTTTATCTTGTTGCCATTCTCGACATGTGGCTACTTCATGGCTCAAGATGGCTGCTTCAACCTACGCCAGTCCATGTATTTTTTTAAATTTTATTTACTTTATTTATTTATTTTAGCTGCGTTGGGTCTTCGTTGTTGTGTGCAGGCTTTCTCTAGTTGCGGTGAGCGGGGGCTACTCTTCGTTGCGGTGCACGGGCTTCTCATTGCGGTGGCTTCTCTTGTGGAGCACAGGCTCTAGGCACACAGGTTTCAGTTGTTGTGACACATGGGCTTCAGTAGCTGTGGCTCGCAGGCTCTAGAGTGCAGGCTCAGTCATTGTGGCACACGGGCTTAGCTGCTCCACGGCATGTGGGATCTTCCAGGCCAGGGATCGAACCCGTGTCCCCTGCATTGGCAGGCGGATTCTTAACCCCTGCGCCACCAGGGAAGTCCTGCCAGTCCACCTTCAATCCAGCCAGCAGGAAGGAGAGAAGAGGAGGAGTAGGGCATGCCCTTCCCATTAAAGATACTTCCTAGAAATTGCACAAAACATTTCTATTTATATACCATTGGCCAGAACGCAGTCACCTGGTCACACCCAACTGGAAGGGAGGCTTGGTCACATGGTCTTTTTTCCATGTGTCTTGCTAAAAACTCAGAGCCTCTATTATTGAAGAAGAAGGGGTGAATATCAAGCAACAATAAGCAGTATTTACAAGTCTTTCATCTCTGCTGCTCTCCCCAGATTGACTTTCTCTTCCTTGCAGACCAGCCTTCTCTGTTCACAGTGTCTGACCCCTCACACTGTCCACTTGCACAGATTTTGGGGTGGCCACAATGTCAGCTTTTAGCCCAACTTCACAAGTCTTTTTTCAGTTCAAAAGCTGCACATGGTCTAGTCACCTCAGCCTCTGTGACTCGATTCCAAGCTCCTAGAGAGAAAATTTGATTGGTCCTGTTGGGTCAGGTGATCACCTCCTCAATTCTGAGCCAAGCATCGGTGGCCTGGGCCATGGCAGGGCTCTCCCTTTTAGGATGGGATGGAGCAAGTTCCCTAAGAGGTGTAAGCGGGAGGAAGTGGTGAGCAGCTCTGGTAAACCCTTCTTCTGAGCTTCCTCCTGTCATAACACGCAGCCCATTGGATGTGGTTGTCAGTTTGCTCTCCCTGATGGTCATGCGATGTACCTGTTCATGTTTCATCCCCAGAGCCTAGCAATTACCTGACACACTCAATGTTTACGGTAGAATGAATAATCCAATCTCGTCCTTAATTGTACAGAGGTTGAATGCTTGCCCGAATATGCATAGTAGGGCAGTGTCGGGGCAGCACAAGAACCCAGGACTACTGATTCCCAGTCCCTGGAGTGATTTTCCCGAATTACCCAGCTCAATATGTCTGCCCCATTGTTCAGCACTTGTCTCCGTGCCCCTGACCGTGGCTGCAGAGAACGTCCCCCAGATGTGGCCTATGAGAACCCCAGGCTGGAGGACTGCAACACTCAGAGTCCATTTCCTACTTTGGTCTTCCTGCTGAGGTCAATGTCTCCCCACAGCTCCAAGCTGGGCCGCTTTGAGGAGAGCTTGCCCTACCTAGGTTTGATCAAGCTAGGCTCTGGATGTAGGGACAGTCAAGGAGGTGGGCTGAGTAACAAGGCAAAGGTGGGAAAGTCTCCATGGCCACCCACCAGGAGCTGCTCTCAGAGGAGCGCGCAGCCATAGAAAAGAGCTGATGCTTCCTCTTCACCACTCTCCTACTCCCCAGTCCCCGTGATATCCCCCCTGCCTCCTCCCAGTTCCCCCATGACTCACTGTGCCTTTCTCTCACGCTCCCCGTCCCCACAGGCCTCAAACCCTCTGTGGCAATCCCGGGGTTCCACCACTGTGTCTTCAGGAGGCCGTTTCCGCTGCCCGTCTTGCAGGCATGAGGTTGTCCTGGACCGACATGGTGTCTACGGCCTGCAGCGGAACCTGCTAGTGGAGAACATTATCGACATTTACAAGCAGGAGTCCTCCCGGTGAGCTGTTAGGGTCTCTTGTTTCTCTAAAGTGCAGGGCCTGGGACACAGGCAGGGAACCCATCAGGGCCAGAAGAGAGGAGCTGAAACGATCAACCTGCCTCTTCAGTTTAGTGATGAGAGGACTGGACCTGAGAAGAGGAGGGACTTGCCCCCAGCTCATCAGGTCACCCAGCTCAGGCAGCCTCTGATTCCTGGTTAGTGCTTCCCCCTCTTCACCTGGGAAGGGGCTGGCCATCCACCAGCAAGGTCCTTGCCAACCCTCCATGACGTCCCGCCCCACGGGACTTCCCTGCCCTGGAATAGAAACTACTCTTGGATCTAGGTCTCCACTGTGCCATAGCTCTATTCCTCAAAGGAAGAGCCCCGTGGAAGTCACTCGCCTGCCCAGCCACAGCACCAGCTGCAGGGGCAGAGAAGGTGGCGCTGGGTGGTGGAGGCTGAAGAGAAGGTGTTCATGGAGCCTCACACTCTTGCCCCCCACCCAGCCTGGCCCCTGACCCTCCTGCCACCCTGCCCGCTACCCTCCAGGCCGCTGCATTCCAAGGCTGAGCAGCACCTCATGTGCGAGGAGCATGAAGATGAGAAGATCAATATCTACTGCCTGAGCTGTGAAGTGCCCACCTGCTCTCTCTGCAAGGTCTTCGGCGCCCACAAGGACTGTGAGGTGGCCCCACTGCCCACCATTTACAAACGCCAGAAGGTATCAAGCAGCAGAGGGAGCAGGCGTGTGGGGGTGGGGACATGGGACAGGGTCTCAAACTATAGCCTCTTAGTCCACTTGGTTTCAAAGGCAGGCAGATCAGGGCCGAGGTCCCAATCTATGCGTGACTCAGTGTGTGACCTTGGGTAAGTCACTTGTCCTCTCTGGCCCTCACGTTCCTCACTTGTAAAATGGGGATGAAAATGCTTACCCCTGAGATCTGTAAGGATAAAATGAGAAATGGATGCAGTATGGTGGACTCTCAAGGCCATCTCACTGTCACACATCTAGATTCTACATAAAACATAATTTAAAAGTTAAATTGGTAGACACGTAGGAAGTAAAGGAAAGCTCCAAGTGCCGGTGAGGTGGGGAGAGGAGGAGGGGAAGTGGGATGAGAACAGAACCCTGAGTGATAAGGACGGAAAAGGCAGGATTTCCCACAGGGCAAATTATTACTGAACTAGAGAGATGAGATTATGCCTCCAAACTCCTAAAAGGTGGGGGGCCTGCAGTGAGGACCCCCAAGGATCCCAGCTTAAACTGGAATCCCAGGAATCCCTAAAGTGGTCAGTTGTGCCACCTGGCTTTTGACAAAAGCAAATGCAAATTCTGCCTGGAGGAAAAACCCTCAATTTAGGCCTTGGGTTTTTCTTAGATTAAGAACAACAAAAGATTATCTCATGATTGAAGATACACAAAGAAATTCAGATACTGGAATTACTGAAGAATGAAAAGTCACTTTGCATAAAATACTTTAAAATGGAATTTAAAAATAAGCAATAGGGACTTCCCTGCTGGCCCAGTGGTTAAGAATCTGCCTTCCAATGCAGGGACCAGGGTTTGATCCCTGGTCAGGGAAATAGGATCCTACATGCTGTGGGGCAACTAAGCCTGCACACCACAAAGAAGAGCCCGTGTGCTGCAACAAAGACCCTGCATGCCACAAGTAAGGCCCAATGCAGCCAAAAATAAATAAATAAATATTTTTAAAAAGCAATAATAAACTATCAAAAATGCAGATTTGACAAAGAACCAAATAGAGCTTTTAGAAACGAAAATATAATTGTTGACATAAAACATTCAAAGGATGAATTAAATGACAGATTTCTCTCAGGAAGAGAGGACTGGGGAATTCCCTGGCGGTCCAGTGGTTAGGACTCCACAATTTCACTGTTGAGGGCCCGCGTTCAATCCCTGGTCAGGGAACTAAGATCCCACAAGCCACGGGGCATGGCAAAAAAAATTTTTTTTAATTAAAAAAAAAAAGATGGGTAAGAGGGGACTGAAAAAACAACTTAGAATACAGCACTGGGAGATGAGGAGGTTGAGAATGAGAAGGTCTAACATATATCTAATCAGAGTCACAGAACGAGAGAATAAAGAGAATGGAAAAGAGGCAATATTATCCTAATGGCTAATCATGAAGAATTTTTCAAAATTGATGGGAGACATGAATCTACAGATAAGGCATCTAGGCCAGTGCCTGGCATTTGGTGGATATTTGGTGAATGTCTCTTCCTTTCTCATCTGGTGGTGGAGGACTTCCTCTCTCCACCTCCTTCCAGAATCCATAGAGTGTGCTTCCACACTTCTTGAGTGGCTCCAAACTCTCTAGATCTGTCAGAGCTGCCCTGAAGATGCCCTAATGGTGGAGTGGAGGGGGCAGTCCTTTCCTGGGCAGCCTGGCCAGGGTGGGAGGGGCACAGCTCTTGACTAGGTCCTCCAGCCCTAAGTGCTGGCCTGTGTGTGTGTGGCAGAGTGAGCTCAGTGATGGCATCTCGATGCTGGTGGCAGGCAACGACCGTGTGCAAGCAGTGATCACACAGATGGAGGAGGTGTGCCAGACCATTGAGGTGAGACTGGGATGGGAGGGAGGGAAAGTTTCTGGACTCCTGGAGGTGGATCACAAGTAGTGGGATGTGCTTACCAGGCTGTTGGTTTGAATCCCAGCTCTGTCCCTGACTAGCTCTGTGACTTTGGTCCAGTAACTTAACTTCTCTGTGTTCAGTTTTTCTTGTTTTTAACTATATAAAACAGTGATGAGAGAATGATATGTTAGCTACCTCATTGGATCTTTTTGAGAATTAAATGAGATAATACAAGTAATATAGACAGCACTCATGAAGCTTCTTTAAAATATAGTGTTATCTGCTGAGAGAGTAGATCTTAAAAGTCCTCATCACAGGAAAAAAAAATTGTAATCTATGTATGGTGCTGGATGTTAACTAGACATATTGTGGTGATCATTTCAAAATATATACAAATATTGAATCATCATGTTGTATACCTGAAGCTAATATAATGTTATATGTCAAGTAAACCTTAACAAAATATATATCATTATTATTACTGAAAAGATCTGGGAATCAGCAGCCCTTGGCTGGAGTTCTGTCTCTGCCACTAATTTGTGGTGTAATCGACAGGTCACTTTTCTTCTTGGCTGTCTGTGACTTCAGTTAAGTCGGGAGTGGGACAAGTAGCCCCGTGCTCTCCCAGTTACGAGGTCTCATCCTTGCTTCCGGTCTTTCAGGACAACAGCCGGAGGCAGAAGCAGTTGCTAAACCAGAGGTTTGAGGCCCTGTGCGCAGTTCTGGAGGAGCGTAAGGGTGAGCTGCTGCAGGCGCTGGCCCTGAAGCAGGAGGAGAAGCTGCAGCGCGTCAGGGGCCTCATCCGCCAGTACGGAGACCACCTGGAGGCCTCCTCTAAGCTGGTGGAGTCCGCCATCCAGTCCATGGAGGAACCGCAGATGGCGCTCTATCTGCAGGTGGGCTTTGGGGGATGGTGTCAGGCTGCCTAGTGGCTGCAGTGGGGGCCTTGGCACAGGGAGACGGTGTTCAAGTCCTATCTCTGGCACCTACTTGCCCCACGGCCTTGGGCAAATCACCCCCTCTGAGTCCATTATTTCCTTAACGAATTGGGACGCGCATCCCCACCGACCCCGCAGGACTGTGTTGGGCATCAGAAATGGGACTTTGCCAGAGATTGGCACAATGCTTACTCTCACCCTCTTTTCTTCCCTGCAGCAGGCCAAGGAGCTGATCAATAAGTGAGTAGGTGGAGTGGGAAGGTAGAGGAAGGGGCCGCGGGGGCTCCGCTGCCACCGGGAGGGGGTGAGGGTGCTGGGTGCTTCCAAATGAGCCGCTGCCGCTGCGGTTGCCGCAGGGTCGGGACAATGTCAAAGGTGGAGCTGGGTGGACGGCCGGAGCCGGGCTATGAAAGCATGGAGCAATTCACCGTGAGCGTGGAGCATGTGGCCGAAATGCTGAGGACCATCGACTTCCAGCCAGGTGAGGGAGCGAGGATGGGAGGGGGCGGCGGGCCGCTAGGACTAAGCGTCCAGACCCTCCAGGTTGGGGGTCGGGGGATAGGTGCAAGACGGCCAGAGAATCGGGGACTCCAGCTCACCCAGCCTTCCTTCCGCGCAGGCGCTTCTGGGGAGGAAGAGGATGAGGAGGTAGCATTGGACGGGGAAGAGGGCAGCGCAGGGCCAGAGGAAGAGCGGCTGGAGGGGCCGGAAGGTGAGTGTGGGCATTGGCGGGGTCTGCCTGGTACCGCCCCTCCCCCGGCGATCTCCCTCTCTGCTGCATAAAGGATCGCTTGGGGCCCCTACTCCCAACCTCAACCAGGAGGGGTGCGCCCCCTAGCGCGCGTGCTGAAGTACAACTTTCTTTCCCACCATCCATTCCTCTGGGGGTTTGGGAGTCCGAGTTGGGTGGGGAAGTGGAGGAGAAACCCTCCTGGCTGGGGAAAGGGAGTGAGCTGGGCTTCGGAGTTGCCTTGTCTCTTTGGAGCGCCCGCCCACCGAGCTTTCTTTCCCGGGGACAGGCCTGCACTGACTCGCCCCTGTTGGGGAGGCTGCGCACCGGCGGCCTGGCGCTCGGGTGGTGAAGGACCTGAGCAGGGACCACCCGCCACCCAGCTCGGAGCGCCGCCGCGGGGGAGGGGCTCAATAAAGGGCTAATGCGTCCCGACTCGCGGCTCCTTTCGCTGCTCACTCTCTCAGCCTCGGCTTCGGCGACGATCGCATCACCATCCATCCCAACCTTCTCCTAATCTGGGACCATTTCGGGGGCGGAAGTGGAATGAACCCCTGTTGGGCACCTCCTCCACATCAGGCACGGATTCGCAAGCCCAGTGCCAAGAGGGTCGGTGGTGGTGCGGCGGCACCGGGGCTTGAGTTCCTGGGAGACTTGGGGACGATGGGGACCGCAGGACCCTGGCTGAAAGCCGTTCTCGCGGAGCCCTCCCGCAGCATCTGGTCCCCTCTCGCCGACCTGGGAGCCCCACTTTCCCACGGGTTTACACCCTGCTGTGGTTCCCCGCGCCCCGCAGCAGAGGCCAACGGCTCTTCGGCACTTTTATTAAAAACTAGTAACGCGGAGAGTGCTCAGGGTATCCCTAGGCCGCTCTAGCCCCGCGGGACTGGGTCAGTTCCTGTCGTGCACGTCTCAGCCCGGGGGTGGGGGTGGGGGTCGAGATTTTCGGGGCCCCAGACCCCGCCGATCACTTGCCCACCGAGTCGAATATGATGCGGTTCTGCTCGGCGCGCTCCCTCTGGCTCTGCGTCCGCGCCAGCTCCAGCAGGGTCCGTAGCAGGTGGAAGGTGAGGTCAATGGACAGCGGAGGGTCGTCCCGTCGCGGCCGCTCGCCTGTGATCGCGGATCCCCATCGGCCCTGTCCCGCGCGGCGCGGGAAGCGCTCCGCCAGCAGCAAGAGGAGCGCGCGGGCCCCTCCACCGTGGTTCCGTGTCCCGGGGCTCCAGCGCAGACTTGGGTCCTGGACCCCGGCCGCCGCCGCCTCCGGGCTCCACTGGCTGCTCCCCGGGCGCAGCTGTGCCAGGAGCAACAGCGCCGCCAGCAGCGCCGCGCGTCCCGCCGGCCTCATGGTACCACCGGCCCTGGACACACAGGCGCAGCGCAGGGTCAGGCGCGCCAGGGGTAGTCGCAGGGGGAGCCACTCTCCTTCCCGCGCACTTCCAGCGCCCCTGTCGGGCCCCTGCGACTGCTGCCCGGTGCCCACAGCCTTCCCTCCAGCCCCAGCCGCTGCCCAGTCCTGTGCCACCCTTTTCTCCCTCCCTCCCTCTTGGCGGGTCGCGGTGGGTGAGCTGAGCGCAGTCCCGGTGCTGAGGGAGTCTGGGCGGACGCTGAGAGCCACTCACAGTTTGCCGGAGAGCGTCTGTACCCTGCAGGAAGGAGCTCCCGTCTCGGTCCCTCGGGGCGGGCTGAGGGCGCCTTGGGGAACACGGGGTCTGTCCCGGGACTGCTGCCAGCCTTATATAGCGCCAGGACAGCTCCGGCTGACGTCAGCGAGGAACATGCACTGATTGTAGAGCAATGACGGCCGCAGCTCCGAGTCCGACCCTTGCGGCTGCGAGACCCCGTGGGGCGCGTCTCTGGAAGTGACACCTGGCTCAAGAGAGGGAGAAGCCTGTTGGGGAGTAAAGACTGCTCCAGCCATGAGAGTCCTTCACCTGTTTAGAACAGCCAGCAGTGACCAGGGGGCCTGTCCCCAGACCAGACTAGTCCAGATCTGCAGTCTTCTCTGGCACTTGAAAGGAAGACTGGACCGCGGGGGCTGTCCATGGTGCTGACCTTGTCCTCAGCCTCTAGAAGGGGCCAGAGGCCTCTGGAGAATGCTGTCCTGCTCAGACCCAGTCCCTTGCCCCAGCTATCAGTTCTGTAAACGGAGGCAATCAGGACAGCACTGCTGGCACTCAGCTACCATCATGGTGCCCACCCAAGAGGCGTCTGAGGCAGCTTAAGCTGCCAGGATTTTTGATGTCATTCTAGCCCCAGGATCTCAATTCTAGGGCTGACTGAGGCACCATAAAAAAGAGGCCCTCTGGTCAGGGTGCTTTCAGACAACAAAAGGCTGGTCCATCTGCTTATAGGTTTGCCCCAAAGCAGGAGTTTAGCCAACTTAATTTTTCTCCTGGGAATCACAGCAGCAGTATTACTTTATCTTTGACCTCCAGGTTAAGATCACTGGGTAGGAAGTAAGGAAACTTGCTGTCTTAAGTGTTTGAGCTGCTATAACAAAAATACCATAAACTGGGTGGCTTATAAACAACAAACATTTATTTCTCACAGTTCTGGAGGCTGGGAAGTCCAAGATCATGGTGCCAGTAGGTTTGGTGTCTGGTGAGGACCTGCTTTCTGGTTCACAGATGGCACCTCTTGCTGTCTCATCACATGGCCTCTTTTGTGAGTGTACTGATCCCATGAGCGCTCTGCCCTCATGACCTAATCACTTCCCAAAGGCCCCACCTCCTAATACCATCACCTTGGGCATTAGGTTTTCATCATATAAATTGGGGAGTATATAAACATTCAAACTATAGCATGTGGGTTCAAGTTTCTACTCTGCCTGTAACTCATGGTGTGGACAGGGCACCTCACCTCTGTGGACCTCAGTGTCCTCATCTGTAAAAGATTGGGCTTAGTCGTCTCCAGGCTCTCTCCAAACTCTAGAAAACGGGACTCCCCAGTCGGTTTCTGCTGGGTCTTACTCATTGCCTCTGCAAGTTCCAGATTACCTATTTAGAAATATATTTATGGAGGCACCATATAAAGAGCTTGAGGGGATCCCCCAAAATTGGAGCTAGACTAGGGCTGGGAAGGGTTAGAAAAACAGATGTGTCTATGAAGAGTGGGGATGAGTGGTACTTGCCGGGATATGAGTGTAAACTGAAGGTGACAAAATCATATGGTTCAACAAGTATTTATGGAGTGCCTACTATGTGGTAGGTATAAGACCATTATAAAGGTTTTAGTGATTTCAGCAGGAGTCAGGTTACATTTTAGAGTGAAACAGGCCACTTCAGAGTGCTAACCCCATTAAGTTCTGACCAGCCACCAAACCCTGTGAAAACCAATGTGCCCACTTTGAGGAGGTGGTTTGACCCTTCCAGGGTCAAGCTGCATCACTGCAAGCTTGAAATGATGGAGTGAGGCAGACTTAGAGCCGATGTGCCTTCCAGGACAGGTACGAGTTCCAGATAACAGCAACACACTGGACGACAGCCAACCTAAGGAACAGGGATGGCACCGTGAAGAAGAAGCAGAACAAGGACAAGCAAGCAGGGAGAGATGGGAAAGTACAGTGGGATAAGGGGGATTATTTCCAAGAATGCCCAGATTTAGCTCTCCTTCCTTCAGCCCCCACGGAGGGATGTGTGGCTCAGACGAGAGGAAAACCAGCTCGGGTTCTGGTGCCAGCCCAGAGCTCTGTCTCCTGGACAAAAGCTCCAAAGTTAACCCCCCCTCAGCCGCCATCTCGCCATGCATGGCTCCATTATTCGTACTCCTGTCCAGGCTCCTTCTAAATACACATCTGTCCGTCTTGTACAGCTGAGATCTCATCTTCCGAAAAATGTGCTGCCTGCCATATAAAGTAGCACCTCCTTCTCTTTATTTTAAATATACCTTGCTCTAGTTTCAAGGAGCACTGCAAGGACCCTAAAGTTTCATTTAGTTCATAAGTCTATACTCCTTTTAGCTGTGCTACTCATGTCCATTTTGAGCCTGTCCCCTCCGAAGAGTTTCATGTTTTTCCCTGTTCCCAAAGCCCCCACACCTCCAATAATTTTAACCACTCATCTTGGTTCCACTATATATTTTTACTGAGATTTCAGCAACTACCTTTATTATCTAGGATAAAATAATATTTTGCAGTGGACTAACCTGACCACGTTCCTACTTGTCTCTTTGGTCTACCTTTCTGCCTAACCTAGGCTGTAGCCCTGCCCCTGCAGACATGCCATCAAAGGTAGAGAGCCCAGGTGGGATGGAGACAAGGACTGTGGAGCAAGATCCTCCCTAGGAAGATGAAAGAAGTCAGCGGGCAGACACTCTGGGATGCTCTGTAATAAAATGCTCAGGAGTCTGAGGAGCTCTGACCAGGGCAGAGTGTTCTGGGGGGTCTAAGGTAGTTCAAGGTTAAAATGAGAATCACTTTGTCTCCAACCGTTCATAATGTGCATCTTCCTTGAAGGGTGGTGTGGGGATCTGTCATACCTGTAATGAAGAGGGACCAGGTAGAAGTTGGCTAACTGCACAGCAGGCCAGAGCTACAACAGAGAGAAGGTAAAGGTTGGTGGGCTGCCTCCATCACCTGACCCCAGACTCCCTGCCTTGCCTGGTCTGACTCCAGCTTCTACAGACAAGAATACGTTGCACAACTGGGTGAGTGCTTCCCTGAGTATGGTGCCCATGTGGGAATGAGAAAGTAATCCCAACTGAGGGATTTCTGTGTCAGGAGGACCCCCAGTCCCTGGCACTTCTGGACTCAAGAAAGAAGAAGAGGCAGCTGAGGTGTCAGCTCTTACATAGTAGTTGGTGATGAGAGCATCAGGATAATCCTGAGGAGACAAGAGAAGGAACAAGTGAACATTTGCATTTCCAGGGAGCTCAGACCTCCTGATCTGAGTATCACATAGAGACTTCTGTTCAGAGAAGACACCCCTGCACCACTGCCCCTCAGCTCTTCTCCTCCAGATCTGGGGCTCTGCCTGCACCTCCACCCTTCCCATCCCCATGAAGCCTGCCTCATTCCCCTGGGCCTGCCGGCCTGCCATCCAGAAATCATCCCCACACCTGCCCAGCTCACCTGCTGGAGTTTGGCCCAATTGTCCTGGGCTGACAGTCCATTGAGTGTCCCTACCAGTGAGAGGAAACAGCCCAGAAAACATGGGGCAAAGCCCCCCTAGGGAAGAGAAATTAAAGCACTGTGAGCACCTAAACCCCTGCCCTCCCTTGACACAGCTCACCCTCCCCAACTCCCTTTCCTTGTGCTCACCTGATCCAACAGCATCTTCTTTAGTGCATCCACCTTGGTGGTGCCAGGGATGAGCCGGTCCAAAACCTTGTACCAGCCTCCTACTACAGGGCCCTGAAAGTAACCCCCAAAGAGGGGAGCAGGGATGCAGAGGGGAGCAT